TGCTGTCAGTGTGCGGTGGGAGGGTCTATTCATCTCCAGAGTTTAGCTTTATCAAAGTCATGCATGGTTAAGAGTATGCAACTGCTCATTGAATACACAAAAGACTAAAAGATTTGGGTAAGGCGTAAGCCTCGCGGTCCTACGCTTCCAACATCAAACGCCGCTGTTTCAAAGCGACAGTGTGTGCTGTGCGTGTGAATACAGCTCCAGGAAGTGGAGAGTGTGGGGAGAGTAGAGGAGAAGCAGGGGGTAAACGGTCAGAGCGTGAAGTGGGGGCGAAGAAAAGCTGTTCCCCGAGTCACATTTTCGAGCACTTTCACGTCGATACCTTCGTCACCGACGGTCAACCTCAGACGCCATCTATTGACCTCTTCCAAATCAAAAGGGTTTATCAAGCCCTGATCCCCGAAATCTAGGGTACTTGTGGTACTTTTGAAAAAACGAGTACCTTCACCTTTTCAGAATTTTGGCATCGACTTGGTACCGAAGTATCGTTTCTCGTGACATCCCCAGTATAAAAGTATGATACCAGTGCGGACAGAAAAGGAATCAGAAACAAAAACATTGTGTTACTAAAATTACCTACCTTTTATGGGTTTCACACTGTTCAACCACCGTTGATGCATACTGCTGTTTAAGGCCAGGGAGTTGAGAGGAAAACAAAAAACCTCTTTTATTCTGCTGGTCTAGCGTCTGTTAAGCTGTGCTCGAGTCTCAGCAGCGCTGTGACGTTGCTACAGAGAAGAAGACGGCTAAACCTGCTGGTGACAGACTGCTCATGGACTCCTCACAAGGATGTGTCAGCCAGAAACTTTAAATTAGTGGCAAAGTAAAATATAGCTGGAGATAGAGAGGGGGGGGGAGAGATTCACTCCAGCGATTTCAAAACAAAAGCAGCTCGCGACCTTCACTTTAACAGAAACGTTCATTTGTCAAGAGATGCTCTGACTGGCAGAGCTCTCTGCTCGAGTGTATACGCACCACCACTAGACGGGAAACAAAGCACAGCCCTGCTCTCTACAGCGCAGCGCCGGATTCAAAAGGCCGGCATTAACACCATTAGCTGCTGCTTTCACCGTACGTAACCTTGCACACAAGAAGTGCCCGTGGAGACTCTGAAAGGCTCGTCCGGCCCACTTTGCAGTCCAGGCGTTTGCTTTTATGGTGCAAGGTCAAAACGTTGCAGCAGCACAGCCTGTGAATCTACGTGCATCGCCGCCTCCGTGCAGCAGGCTTGAGTGCAGACTCATTGATATTTGCAAGCGCCGCTTTTGATTTGTTTAACCTGCTCGGAGATGGAGATGAGCATCACAGCCACGGGCTGAGCTTTTGTTCCTCGTGTTTTCTTGTGCGTGTGCAACAGAATCTTACAATGTTTCAGACAAAAAGAGAAATATATATATATGAGCATCGCCTCCAACCTCCGCAGAACACGAGGAGCCGGACAAAACAAGCACCGATCGACGAAGAAGAAAGCAGAAAACGACTGACGAATCGACCGTAATTTGCGTAACCAATCAAAAATGCTCTTGGTTAATTGTTGACGTCCTCTTTTTGAAAAACTATAAATAGCTAGAGTTCATTTTCCTGACACAATAAGTGAGAATTTAAATTTAAATTTGACTTTACTTGATCAGTTTTAAATCTAAAGCTGCTGGGATTGCCTGTGAGGTGCATCCAGGGTCGTCCGGCTTCTGTTTTTAACAGAGCTGAGATGTTATTGTTCCAATCGGGAGCCTCTCGCTGCTCGCCGATTGAAACCCCACCATGGTTTCATTTAATCTGACAAGTATAATCTTCTGAGATTGCCCTTTCCCGCTGTGATGTTTGGAAAAGCTTACAAAAGACTCACTCCATTGATCTGAATACACTTTAAGAGGCCTCATTGTTGTTCCCACGCCATAATCGCAAATAGAGCCTTTGAAATGGAATAATGCCAAACAATGCCAGTCAGTGAGCGAGTCCACCATGCAATGAAAGGCTTAATAGTTTTATCGTTGCTTCGGAATTGTGTGGTCCATCTCTGTGTGTCCGTGTTGTGGTTTTCCTGTCGGTAAATCTGCCAGCAGTTCAATCACAGCTCGTTTAAAGGAAGCACGGAAGCTGCTTTTGTTGAGGTATGGATGGAAATAAGGAATGTTTTAGAGGGAAAAATCAGGCGTCAACCCCTGGTTCTGAAAGCTGAAGCCAATACGGAAGCGCACTATTTCTGATGGCCATCGGGGGGCGACTCTTGTGGTTTCAAAATGAGGTCAGATTGTATAGAAGTCTATGAGACAATGACTCTACGTCTCACTTGATTTATTCCCTTAATCTCTAGTTTCAAGTCTTCTTCAATACAGCATGATGTTCATTTAGTAAATGATGGTCCATTTAGAGTCAAACAGACCAAGAAGCAGGGTCTGCTTTAGGGCGGGGCTTACTGTGATTGACAGGTCGCTGCCACAGCGTTGTCCTGTCTGGGTCTGGTCGCCTATAAATGTCTTAATAAGAGTTCGGTTGTACTTAGCTCCACCCTTTCCTGTCTCTTCTGGTTCCAAAAAACTAAACAGTGACCATCTAAAAACCAAGATGGCGACATTCAAAATGACGAAACCGAGAGTTCAAAACCTTGTGTTATGCCACGTTGACTACGTCCACTTCTTACATACATGTCCACGGGGGGGGAAATCAAATACTCTAGTCTCTGGGGATACATTCCTATTTTAATTGACAATCAAAGCCATTAAAAGTCATACAGTCTGAGGGATGCACACACACACACACACACACACACCAATTCATCAAGCGCTTTACCTCCCACTGCGCCTATATGGGTCCCCCCCCCCCCCGAGGCCAACATTCAATGGTTGTGTTCCTAATGACCCACCATGATTCACCCGTGATTGATCAGTGAAAACCCACTAATGAGTTACAACCGCCGCGCCGAGACAGAGACGTTAATCTCTCGAGGCTTCTCCACGACTGCATTAAGCATTGTGCTCCCCCCGATGCCTCGCTGTGTGGTCAGATAATTCACCGCCGTTGGCCTGGCCGTGGACAAAAAAAAAAAAAAACGTGTCCCGTGTTCGCGCTTCATTCGGGCGGGCGATCGCTCGCCGCAAGGACGTCCGGGGAAGATGTACGAGCTGGTGGCGTAATGTATTCATAGGGAAAGAGATTGAGGAATTGCTCTTGAGACGTGATGAAGTGCCTGCTGAGGTGTGTTTGATGAATTATGATGAAGCTATGCAAACAGCGCCTGCAGCGGGATCCCCGGCTCGTGCTGTTCAATTAGCACGTCGCTGCGGTGGTAGACTAATACTTGGACTGGGTGAGCAATGAATCCATCTATTATTGAAATTCATGCTAGTTTCATAACCAGCTTGATGATGAAATCAAAGGCAATATCTCGAGCATGTTCCGATGCTAAGATTAGTCTTAAAATCAATACTTTATGCGTGGGAACATCGTTAAGACACCAAATTAAAAGCCTAGCAGCAAGACAAAGACACTTTAGTGGGAAGGAGCCTCATAAAGGAAGTTAAGTCATGTTAGCGCATTACACTCTGAGCTGCTGCTATAATTCATCAGTTTCTTTCTATTCCACTAAACGAATATAAGAAAAATAAATCAAATCCTCCGACTTGTCAGAAAAATGATCTCAAGGGCTGATTGAATATTTGAAAAGAGTGCGTTTTCAAAAGAAAATAAATGAAAAGTCCGAATAAAGTGCTGCTTTTAACTACTTGTAGTCCCAGCAGCTCCCAGGGTCCTGGTCTGGGGAGTAGGGGAGGAGCTTCAAAGGAGGCTGAATTGCCTCTAAGATACTGTTCGTCCCCAAGGCCCGTCGACACATTCGCTCCCCTTTTCCACTGAATATTTCACCAGGAGGTTACGCGTGTGTTCGGATTCCACATTCAGGTTCTGGCGTGGAGCCGGAACATCAGCCGCCCCTTTGTAGTATGTGATTAGATGCGCCTTTGAAGCGTTCTTTCATTGTAGCCGAAGAACAAGGCACAGCAAAAAAAAAAGAAAAGATTCCTGTGATCCCCCGGAAACTTCCAATCCTCGCTGACAATCGCTTTTATTTCAATTAGGCTGCTGCTGCTGCTGAATATCGTCTCGAAAGTTCTCCTGATGGGTTTTTAGACACGGGGGGGGGGATTTTGGCGCGACGACTACTAAGACGGAAAAGCGATGTGTCCGACTGTGGAGCCGCCGCCATTACAAAAGATGACATCACATTAAAACACTGTTCAAGGCTAGAAAATGCTAATTGTATGCAGATTTGTGGTATGATTAATGTATTCATTTGGCATGCTGAGTGGTGATTAGGTGAGTGGGAGCAAGCAGCAGTCGCCGGGGCTCGGAGAAGGCTGAGAAACAGCATGGCGAGGGGAAGGGAAAGCCGGCGGTTTCCTACATTTGCTCAGCGTGAGAGATGACCTTTTTTCCCGCACAGACCCATGCCTGTGGCGCTAAGGGGAGGCGCTCACGTGGCAGGGATTTGAACTTTAGCTCGCATTGAGCACCTGACTTATGCATGCTAACTGGTTGTGTCTCTGCGGGCCGATGAGGAGGGAGGACGCAGAGGGAAGAGGAGAGCGGGATGTTCGTCATGTCTTATTTAAAAAGATACAACATCCAGATTCTGTTTCCATGCCCTAAAGTGGTGAGTGTGGCGTTCGTGGGACGCTGAAACCGTCTTCCACCAAATGTATACCGTGATCGATGAGACGACGCAGACCATATTTCCTCTTCAATTCGGTAATTCCCTTTTGATGACTAAAGGAACCCAGGAGACCTAAACCCACGCGAGGGTGCCCAAGCATTTGCTTCGTTAAGCCGCGGAGATTGAAGCAGTGAACCTCGGAGGCAACGGTAACTTGTGTTCGCCGCTTCTGTTTCGGTTCTCTACCTCCTCTGCGGGACCTACCTGTCAGGACAGGCCGTTTTATTTTGAAAACCAGAAATGGGGCTACATCCCTGAGTGAGCAGCTGAGGTCAGCGTAGCATACCTGACACAGCTGGCTCTGGTCCCAGGCAATATGGGCTCCGTGTCTTCATACCATGTCTGTGAGAGAAGAAATAAAAGACAAGAGCCAGGTCAGGACAACTGATATTAGACTTCTGGAGAAAGTATATTGGGAAAGGAAAATAGATTAGATGATGCTGTGAAGATGCTTTAAAGACTGTCAGACTGTCAACCCCCCCCCCAAAAAAAAAAAACAGCTTTACTTCTCAAATAAACATATTCTACTGAGGCTGTGAATCTGTAACAGCATCTCTGAATAAATGAGTTGAACCCATTCCATCAGAAAATAGAACAATGACTCAGCAGGTTTTTCAAGTGTAATCGTCCGGTGGCTCATCGGTACGCCTCCATCTAACCACGGAGACGGTGGAGGGAGCCGGCCACGTGAGCTCTTTTATGAGGACTTACTATTTCGAGGCTCACTCGCGCCGGGGAAAAGGTCAAATGAAAAATCTCTCTCAGATCAAATTGAGTTTTTCACTTGATTAATAAGCCTCCGTGGCAGATGCTACACACACACACACACACACTCGAGCGATTCCAAAACATTCTCAGGTTTTTTCCTTTTCCCACGAGGAGCACGCTGAACTCGGATAACACAAATCCAATTAATGTATTCCAAGAGAAAATGTTTCTCATTGTGTGTCACGCCTGCACTGTGAGAGCTTCGGTGATACTAGTGAGCACTGCAGGACGACTTCCTGTCTGGTGGCAGCACCACCTCCACTATAACATGAATAACATATCAACATATGAAAAGCAGCGACGCAGAGAAAGAGAAAAATAAATAAAAAGAGAGACTAGCCGATAATCCAAAATCTGGAGCACAGTGGTGAGCTGCTGGTAAGCCTAAAATCACTGAAAGAGAAAGGCAAAGTACAGACCATCATGGTGTCTCTCTGCCATCAAGCTTAAGCGAGAGAGAGGAAGCGCCACGTCAAGGTCAGGATGGAGCCCTGTCAGCGCTCAGGCTAACAGGCGGGGAGCGGTGCGCGCTGGGTAATTGGGAAGAACTTCCTGCCCTCGGACTTGAGTGGCACGTCTCGACCTCGGAGTCAGTTACCCACCGGGGCTTAGCCGCGTCGAGGCTGTCAGCTCGGGCTCCGGGGTAACGGCGGGGCCCGCCCATTAACAAGCCGCTCACGATCACACACAACCACACAGAACGGGGTTCACACTCTGTGAGGCAGCTGATGAGCAATCACCTCGCAAATTGGCTGACAAAAGAGAATGCAGAGAAACACCGATGAGTGCGTCACAAGCACGGTGGCCCTGGCACAGGTCTGCCTTCCTATAGAGCTCGCCGTGGAAACATTAACAGTTTTATTCTGACCCTAGGAAAAAATAAATAAACGGTGGCGCGTGGAATGCATTACCCCCCCATGTCAACGTGCTAATCAGCATAATATGAATTATTGCCATCATTACAGTGGGAGGCCGAGGAATAACAAAAGCTCTTAATTATTCAACGGTGGGGAATAATAACGTGAGGGCAAATGCACCTTTAGTTTCTGCTGCCAATAGTCGTGACACTTTCTATCTCTCTAACCCTTCGGTGACAGAACGCAGGCTCCGTTTCTCCGTTGAGGAAATCATTTCTATAAGCGATGAGTGATGAGCTTATCTCCCGCTCCTGAATAAACTCCTCGTGTTTGTTTTTTGTCTGCGAGAGAACTCGCTGTGCAAATAACCATAAGAGCCCAATAAAGATGTGCTTCGCAATGAGGTTGGTTTTTTTGTTTCAAAAGAGTTGTCATTTCTAGCGTGTGATTGTTGTTGTTTCGGTGCGCCGGTAAAGTGATGATTGGGAGGGTTTGGTTGCAGAATCATTTTCTACACCCGTTTATTCCATTTTTAGTTTTTTTGCGCAAATTTGATCTAATGATTTTGTCTCAGCGGGGCACTTTTGGCTTGTGTGATAGGTGCTCCATCACTAAATAGAGTTGAACAAACAGAAGAATGTCGCTGTGCTTATAATATTATGTCTCATTATGAACTTTAATGTTCCTTTTCCCTGTTATCTGTATGGCGTTTGAAATGACGAGCGTTGTGCTAAATGCTAACACCCGCATGCTAACGTGCTCACAGTGACGATGCCAAATTCCAGGTGTTTAGCAGGTGTAATGTTTACCGCCGTCTTAGTTCAGCATGTTATCATGCTAACATTTAGCATGACGTCATGCTAACATTTGCTAATTAGCACAAAGTGAACTCCGATGCAGCCTGAAAGGGTCGGCGTCTCTACCGCTGGTTTCAAAAGGAAAGAATGAAATAGTACCGACACTGACTCAAATAGCATAATTCACAGTTGGCGAGGTCAAACTAAATTCCTGGAGAGATAAAGGCTTTAGCTGAATCCACAAATCCGCCAGCACTGCAGGGCTCCTCTGACCTTTCACAATGAGTTGCCAGTCAGTCTTACCGGAGACCGACATGGTTCAGAGCTATAGACCGCCGGGCCTTCAAAAGAAAATGAAGCAACAAAATGAGTAATTATTGCTTTGGAGACACTGGATCACTTTTGCCCTCTAGAAATGCTCTCGTGGCTGATCGACACGTCCGTAAACACTGGCATTCATTCGTCTATGACATCCTATTGACGCTCTGACAAGCCTGATTGCTGATCAGTGCTTGGGGGGGG